ACGAAGGTACTCTCCAGCAAGTTCATCATTAAAAGTATTATAAAGTAAGATCTTCGAGAGATTTCCTTCGGTCTTTTAATTAAATTTATCGCAACTTCGTAAGAAATTGTATCCAACATAAGAATTCTAAGTTTAGAAAATGATGATAATTTTAAATGACTTTCAAGCTGATGATTCATTTTAACGTTACTACTACCAAATATTTTTAAAATTTGTAAATTATTAAAGGAGGAAAGGATATTTGAAGGTAAGGAAATTTTCCTGAGATATGATAATTCAAAATGAATTAGGGAATTGGCTTGTTTAATCAAAGCATCTCCAATTTCTTGTCGAAAAGCTTCAGCTTGATGTTGGACAAACACGAACCATTTTAAGCCATTTTGATCCTCGATTAATCTAGCTAAACCCAAATTACGAAGCTTGCAATACGAAGGACACACGATGTGTATCATTTCTAATGTCCTGCAGTTATTTGCCAATAAATCAAAAAATGTCGGATCATTAATTAAATTACAATATAGAGACCTAAGTCCTCCAAGAAAAGTTGTTGCTCCGATGATATGATGTTTTACTTGTGGTCCTAAATTCATCACATCTAAAGATTTAACAGCGGAACATTTACTAACAATCATTATATAAATTTCTAGTTCTATACAACGAAGTCGACTTTCTTCTATTTTCTTGAATCTGGAAGAATCAAGTCCAACTCTGATGGATTTTTCAATGCAATAAAAGTTCATATATCTGCAGTAACTTAAGTAATCGAATAAATGGTGTTCATGCTGCGTTGGAAATAAATCGATTCCTTGATTATTGAAAAAAATCCGTGTTTCTCTTGATAGAAATGAAATAATAAGGTCAAATAGCCTCCCATAATCTTTAATGAATTTCCATGAATTACTCCAAATGATAGGTACAGCAGTTTCACACCAAAGTTTGTTTACAAATAAACATGAATAAAGAGGTTCACGCGTCCAACTTTGACTTTTGCAAGATGATAGTTCCTTGAGGAC